CTGGTGTTAAGTATAAGTGTCCTTTTTGTTTCCATTTTCGCTAAAACTTTGTCATTGCTTACTTGTTCCATTCATGGTATTCTCAGCATCCTTCAGTAAAACCACATTGCTGATCCTTCAAGTCTCTTTTTCATCTGTGAGGAGATTGACCAGCATTAACTGCCATATAGGAAGACAGATATTACATAATGCTTAAGTATTCTTTTCTTTGATTCTCATGAAATTTTTCAGTTTCTTAATACTTTGTTTAGCTTTTGGAAGGCATCTTTTTGCCCTCCCAATGTGCCTTCAGATTTCAGTGTCACACTTTGTTCTCTGTTAAAACACTTGCCAGATACTTACAAATGACTAGTATAGAGCAGTAAAACCACATAAAATGTCTTACATTTCAGGTGGATACTCACAGATTTGTGTATAGATCTCATCAATGTTTAACTTTTTTAATCTTGTTCAAATTATACCTATGTCTACATTTTTGACTCTAGTGAAAACTGGAATTGTGTACTTTTTTTCTCTAATTCAAACTGGTCCTATACTTACCTCTTTGGTTTGAATGTGAACAGAATCAGTATCAACCTTTTTGATTCTAGTGAAAACTGGACATATGTTTACCTTTTTGATAATAGTGTAAAGTGGGTGTATCATGGGTGAAGTGTCCATGTAAACAACGAATGTACTGCATGCCTTACATTTTTTCCAGGATAAATAATTTTGTATAATATAAAATTAATTATTGATAATTTTCACTATCCTCTTTGTACTTGTATTTTTTTGTATTTCCCATGTCTTCATTTCTTAGGATAATTGTTACAAGTAATATTATTTAGGGAGTGTAAGTAAAGAAAACACTTGTTGTTTAGCAAGAAAAGATGCAAGTAAAAGCAATGAATTTACTAACCTTTTTAGTTGGGAGCATGAGAGACAGAACATAATAGTGAGTGGTTGAAAGAGAGACAGTCACTGAAAAGCAGAAATTCTTTTGCTTGTGTTAGAAAAGGCCATGGCTTTAGCCTTCCCTGTTTTATTATTCCCTTGAAGCTGGGTGAAAAAGAGAGACAGAATAATAAAGTGGGAGCTCACAGAGAGAAAGCCACCAAAAAGCAGAAATTTGTTTGCTTGCTTTTGGGCCATATTAAGCCAGTAGAACTAATGATCTTTTTTTTGTGTGCAGCTGAATCAAAGACTTTCTTATTCAAAGGAATTATAGTCAGACAGATTTCGTCAAACAATTTGTATCATTTGGTTCTGAAGAGTATATAGGGAATATCTGACAACTTTAGTGTCACATCACATTCTTTTTTTTTTACTAACTTTTAAAAAGTTTTAACCCATGGAGAGTATTCTTGGTCCTTTCTTAAGATTTGGATTCAGTCATGTGACCATTACCCAGAAGGTTTTTGACCAGTTCATACATGGGGTGAAAAGGAGAAACTGGCAAAGTAACTTTCAATGATTAAAAGGTAATTTATCATTTGTTTCAATGACTCAAGATTTAATTATTAAATGTTCAAAATTATTTTTTAAAGTTATGTAAAAAAAATTTCTTCATAATTTTCTATATTATTTCATTAAACATGTTAAATATTGTTAAAAGACATATTAAAAAAAATTCACTGTAATACCTAATTTTAAAATTAAATTAAAAGTATTTAAATTCAAATTTCATGTATTAATGTTGGGGTTATTTTAAAGAAGAAAAGTTGAACTTTATTTTAAAAGAAAATTTGCTTAATTAAAACAATTTGAATTAAAACAGTATTAATTTAGTTTACATCAAAATTACAAATTTTCACTCTTTCAGTCATCAATGAAGACCATTTTTTGTCACCTGCCATCAAGCAATAAGAAACTCATTTAAACATTTTTTAGAAATTAAAATAAAAATGTCTACATCTGATTCTGACCATACCTTCCACATCTACTTCCTGTGAGAGATTGTCCTAAAGCATGTAAATAATCATATGAGGTGTTCCCAAAGTGAAGAGTTTTTATTTCCATTTTGAAGAAGATTAAGGTAGAGAGTAGTGCTGATACTTTTTTACAACAAAGTGATCAATGAATTTGCTAAAAAGAAACGAAGAATTGATTTACAAATAAATTTTAATAACTCATTATATTTAGATTTTATTATATTCTCTCGTAACCAAAAGTGATCATCATCATTTATAGGGTATTACTAATGGGGAAGGGCAGTTAAGTCCAATGGAGAATAATAAGTCTGAAGCAAACCCTGTTGGTAGAAGTGCATTTTCTTGCATTAAAATTAGTCCACAGATGGTTGGGTGAGAGGCAAATAATTTGACAAAAGGAATCGTCTTAAGATTAAAAATATGGTGAATCTTCTAGTCAAATTTTGATAGGTTTTCCATTAGATCTTTAGGACTGCAGCAATTCAATTTGAATGTGGCTAAGAGAAACGTAACAATGCTGATGATACTTAGAACCAAAAAACATCATACTTCTGAACAGAAATATAATGAGAACAGAATTGCATCTGGAAATATCTTAATAAATAAATGTTTTCTATTAAATTACCAAAATAGTTTAATTTATTTTGATAATATAAGGTGATTTGTTTCCATCATTCTTAGAATGAAAAGGAAATAAACAGCATAATTTCCTAAAGATGATCTGCCTTTATAGAACCGGTTCCTGGAAATTTGGGATGCTTTTATTGGATAAACCTCTACTCATTTTCAAAAGATGGGGAAGGAATGTGAACTCAGGGTGTTTGTATAGATACAAAAGACAAAAAGGGATGGTAAAGGTTAAAAAATTACTTTGAGAAAGGAAGGTGTAAGTTGTTGTGATTTCTCATTTTGTGAAAGAACTAGGACAAATAAAATTAAAACTTTATGACAATAAATTGTCATCAACATAATTATTGTCATCAAGGGTCATCAAAATTATTATATTATTACTCAACCATTTACTCTTGTGTTAATAGTAGGTCTGAGCATTTCAATATGGTCAAATTGGCAGTTAAGCTCAAAAATGGTTTACATTCTGTTGTTAACTTGAGCAAGGAATAGCTTGTTAATTTCAGTGCCTCCAAAATGTAACTGCTCTCTTTTAATCATCTGAGAGAACTTTTTTTTACCTTCCATCAGCATGGCTGATGCTAACCTCCAAGAGAGTGGCTCAGTGAGCTCTTTCAGACTAATGCTTTCTGCTGACATGAAGTGGTAAGATTATATTGAATCATTTGCTAGGTTTGCTGCCAGGAAAGTTGGTTCTCTGTGTTGTGATAGACAGCTTTTCTTGCCAGAATCTATTTTACATATTTATAAGTCTAGTATTCATCCTTGCTTTGTATATTGCGGCCACATTTGGTATGTTGCTCCTGCTATATATTTAGACATTCTTGATAAAATCCAAAGATGAATCTGCAATGTTAGCAGTCCTGACCTGGCATCTCAGTTCCAGTCACTTTCCCACAGCCATAATGTAGCTTCTCTGTACCTTTTGCATAAATATTTTCATGGTAATTGTTCTGATGAACTTCCTCTATGGTACCTAGACTTTATAAATTTAAGTGCAATACTAGATTGGCAGGATTTTACAGTTGAAATAGCTAGATGTAACTGTAAGTTCTATGCTAACAATTTCTTCTATTGCACTTCTTGCTTGTGGAACTCTCTTCCAGCTTATTGCTTCACAGTCAACTTTCATCTTCAAAAATTTAAATGCAAAGTCAATCACTATTACCTATCTTCTTAATTCTTGTTCTTTTATTGATCTCTCTCTTCAACAATATTTCTTTTTCTCATATTTACTAACACCTAGTATATCCTTATATCTTAGTGGCTTTATTAACTTGTTTGGGGTGAAATGATTAAAAAAAGTTTAACCATATCCTCAAAAAATGATACTAGTATTTAATGATGCAATTATGATGTACTTATAAAATATCAAAGATTTCCTTTTTTTCTTGTCTGTGTTTCCTGTTACCAAATTATTGCGTTTGTATGAATGGATGGCAGAACAGTGAAAGGGAGGTATAGTAAATGGTGAAAAGATATAGCAACAAAATACAGGAAATTGTGGAGAACCATGATCACCCCACCCTGAAAAGGTATAGCACATAAAAGAAGGTCTCTGTTTGTCATTTCTTTACATTTATAATCTTACTCTATTTACTACTGATACTATCTAACCCAATACTATCTGCCACATGGTCAATTTGTAGGCTGTTAAACTGGTTCCTCCACCGGGCTTTTTAGTTAAGATGGTGGCTAAAAACCCAGCAGAATTAAAAGAAAGACCTGTTAAAAAGTGGATGAACTTTTTTAATCATCTCACCCTGAGTAAGGTGATAATGCCACTAAAACACAATGTCAGAAGAAAGGACAATAAAAGAAAAAAATTCAAGCCAAAAGATGGCGATTGACATTGCATTTCAGTTTTTGAAGATTGTAGGTGACAGGTAAGCAAGAAACCAGAAAAGAGTTCCACAAGTGAGAAAATCTTATAGGGTAAACAGCTATCTAGCACAAATGGGTAAACTTCACTCCATAGTTATGCCAGTGTTTTAATGATACAGCATCACTGGGTGGAAGGCCTCCATGAATAAAGTCAATGGTAAGGGTAGAGGGCTGCTTGATGGAATCAGTAGCCATGTATCCTTAACCAAGGGGAACCCTCAGGTTGGAAGACACTGGATTTAGTTTAAGCTGGAGAGGGAGGGACTATGCTAAAAGACATGCTATGCATAAATGAATTCCTCTTTGACCCTACAACCACACCCAGTCATGAGATTGATGATGATGATGATGATGATGTAGTATTGGATGGTATATAAACCATCCTGTGTTTATATCTACGCTTATAATATTATGAAGTTAGGTTTGGTACAAATAGTTCTAGTCTATTACATCTAGATAAGCATTAGCCTACCAGACACATCCACTTGATCCAGGAGATATTTTTGACAAATTTAGTAGAGTGTGTGTGTGTGTGGGGGGGTTAGAAGTGAGAAGGAGTCTTATATGTGATCAAATATGGTAATTACCATATTTCCTATTTAATATCTCACTTTTGTTTTCCATCTGCCTTCTTTCTTTCTTTACATATTTTTTTATTCCTTTCACTGTTTTTGTTATCCATTTTTCTTTTCATATTATCTATTTTCTCCTCTTTTTCATTTCCACTCCCTCAGTGTTTTGTTCTTTATCTTATCTTTGACACATCTCTCTCTTTCTTCTCTTTCTTAATTTCTACTTCCTCATTTTCTTTTCATTTATATTTCATTTAACAGACTATACTCTATCTTTTTCTTCTTTCACTTTTCTTTATTTTTAACTTGTTGCCTTCTATCTTTTCGTTTCTTTCTATGATTCTTCTGTTTTTGATATCTATATTTTTCTTTCATTTTGTATTCTCTTTCTTTTTCTATATTTTACCCATTACCATGTTCTTTTTTTTTATTGTTCTTTTTATTTCTTTTCCCATTCTTCATTTTCCTACTTCTCATCTGTATTTCCATTGTATCATATTTCAGTTACCATTTTTTCCTGTTTTCTCTATTTCTCTCTCTTTTTCCAAAATATTCCTTTTTTTTTCTTCTCCATTTTGTATCCTTCATTACATTTTCCTTTTCATGTTTTATAACTTTTTTCTAGTCTTTTTTGATATATTTATTTTTCTTTAAATCTTTACAGTGACTTTTTATGTTTCTCTTCACTTTACACCTTATTCAATTTTATTTACACCCTTGGATTATCTTTCAATCTTTTTATTTTTACATCTTCAGCTTGTCTTCTCTTCACACCTGCAAACTAGTCTTTCTTAATCTCTATTTTTTTTTTTTTACACATTTGGTTTGTCTTTCAATCATTTTTACACCTTTCACCTTGTCTTGATCAATTTTTCTTTACATTTGCTAACTAGGCTTCTTTCTTAATCTCTATTTTTCTTTACATCCCTGGTTTGTCTTTCAATCTTTTTTTACATCTTTAGCTTTCTTTTTTTATCAATTTCCTTTTATACCTTTTAACTAGGTTTTTCATAATCTATTTTTCTTTAAACCCCTTGTTTGTCTTTCTGTCTATTTCTTTTTACACCATTAGCTTTTCTTGTGTTTCTTTACACTAAACTAGTTTATCTTAATTTTTCTACTTCCCTTTATTTTATACTCCTTGTGTTTCATTTTTCTTTCTTTTCCTCTTCATTTCTTGTTGTCTCTTTGTGCTGTTTTTGCTTTCTCTTTTTTCCTATCTTACTTTCACTTTCACTTTTTTGTTCTTTGTATCTTTCTCTTTCTCTCCTTCCATCACTTTTTTTTCTCAGTTTTATTTTTTCTTTTAAAATGTAAAATTCGAATTGACAATGATATTTATCTAACCTACTTAGAATTCCTCATTCTCTTCTTTTGGGGTCCAGTACAAAATTTATCTACATTTTCTTTTTAGAATGAGGCAGTAGGTAAGAGACATATCAATTCTGCCTCCTCTTACTTTGCTCACTTTTTATTTTATCTTCCTCACATGTAATGCAAAGTTAAACTAATTTACTATATCCTCAGGTAATCTGTGTCCCTCACACTACCAAGTTCTCATTTCTCACAGTCATAATTATAATATGAGTGTTCCTTCAGCTTAAAGTGGGTGATGGAGGTGGGGATATTTTGGGCAAAAAAGCTGGGTTGTGGGTGGACCTAATAGTTTCTTAAGTCATGTTTTGCAGAATCATTTAAAATAAAAATGTCTGTGGCCCTGGGGACCAGTGAGTGATAAAGAAGAACAAAATATGTGGACTTAGGGACAATGTTTTCAAGAAAAAACTGGTAACTTCCCAAAGACTTTATTTCTTTCTTGTATACATATATACACACATATATATCTATATCACACATATATATGAAACACACACATACAAGCATATATATATATATATATATATGTGTGTGTGTGTGTGTGTGTGTGTGTGTGTGTGTGTGTGTGTGTGAAAGTTTCAGATAGAGTATATATGTAAAAGGACACTATAAATGGAGACAAAAGGAAAATGTATCTTAGCTGCTGTGTTTCATCCTCTGAGGGATTTTATCAAGGCATGTGGGCAAAACGTTGGCTAAGTTTTTCTTTTGTCTTTATTCATATTTATATATCTACATGGAATATGTGTGAGCATGTTCGTTTTTACATGTGTCTTGGTATGTGAACATACAAACGCGTGCATACTTGTATGCCTCTGTATCAAGTAAATAATAAATATTTAAATATGTATACATTAATGCATTTTAAACATAATGTATTCAGGCAGCAATCCTTTGTTTAAACATGTTTTATTAAATAGAATAAACAGGGTAAATCTCTTAAACTTTTTGATCAGTTTTTCTGGTGTCAAATAAGTCCTTTAATGTCAGATAGAAACTTGCAAATGAATTGCCAAAATTATGTATTATGCTCCATGATCTTTTGACCATTTTAGTTGATAATAAAATTGTACACTACCACCTTTAAAGACATGATTACAAATCTTGGGGGTCCTTTACATCAAAATAAAACAATACTATTTGTTTCAGTCTATGTGCCTATGTGTTAAAATGTCATTTTTGCTATGACACAAAAATCTATTTCTCAATTGCAGCTGTAAACCCACTTTCATTTCAAACTTTAGCAACATATATGCCATATTGGTTAATTTGCAAATATCTATGTATTGTTTTAATGTTACTTCAAGACAGAAGTGATTGTGGCTTCCTACAACTGTTTAATCTCTAAGAGAAACAATGCTTTCTTGTTGTTTTCTCTGTGATTTTGAGTTCAGATTTTATTTTTCTCCTCGACTATCCACCACCCAAGTCTAGAGTATCCAGTCTACCCTGTTATTTAATTCACAGCTACAGGGAGAAAAATGTATTCATACTTTTACAAAAGGAATTAGTACAAAAGTGAATGCGATAGACTAAGCTGGAACATGAAGTTGGTTTGCAAATTTCCCATTCTTCACTAATAACCATTAGACTAACTGCACATAATATAGGAGAGAAGCATAGAATATGCTGCACTAAGAGTAGTTTTGTCCAACAGTGCCTGTTGATACAGAATCAAAACTTTATCCTAAGAACTCGAGTCATCTTCTTAAATAGCCTTGTCAGATTGAGACTTTCATATGGGTGTCATGGAGGGCACCAAACTCATTCAGAAATATCTAAACAATTGCTTTTATCAGACCAATCATTAAAAATGATTTTGAGCAAGAGAACACTGTAGGATTTAGAGGGGACCATCCTTCAAACTTTGGGAACTAACATTACAGAATCACAAACAAAGAACTATACCAATTGTTAGAAACCACATAACTTGGGGATTTCAACAGGCGCAACAACTAAAATGGATAGCACATCCAACTCAAAGAGAAAAAAATGATATAATGAAGATTTTAACATTCCATATTACTTCAAGCAAAATCTTAGGAAGGAAGTCCCCATGAATATTGGAAAGTGAGATAACAGTGACTGGACTTGAGAAACCTATTTTCCTGTTATAACTGAAAGATTTTATAAATTTTAACCAAAAGTAGCAGTGGTTGCTTGGTCACTGAATGCTGGGTGTTTCCACATAAGGAAACAGTTAATCTTATTATTAGCATTATGACAAAATCAGTGATTATTTTTAAATTAGTATTTTGGTTCAAATAGTTTAAAATATATTTCAATTGACCATTAATACAGTTTTATGTTGACTTTTCATTATAACTTCCCTTTGAAAACCTGTCTGTTCTCATTTTATAGCCTTTTCTATCTTTTCTTTTTACCATTCCTGAATAAGGTTTTTCTTTTATTCTTTTTCTTTTCTGTCTTACCAAAAGTTCTTCTTCCCATTTTTGATGATGGATCAATATGCCCAGTGCCTGATACAGTAATTAACAAATTTTCACTGTATAATGTTTGATTTATGTGATTGATAAAGAATAAAGATTAAGTGTCTTGACAAGGAAGAAAATTATTAAAAAAATAAATATTTATTTACACTATTTATATTGTTCGGATTGTTGTCCTCATCTTTATTGTCATATTCACCATTTGGCCGTTGTACACTCCAGCTTTCTTCAGGTGATATAAGTTGAAGTTTTGTACTGAACCCTTTGTTTTGTCCACCAGAGTAGATTGTTCTACTTCCACATGCCATGCCTTTTCTGGATATCTCAGTTTCAGTTATTTCCCTTTAGTAACTCAACTCAGCTTTCCATTTTTTGGATAGAAGCATTGGTTGAAGTAATCCAGTGACTTGACCCAAAGTGTTGTGAGTTCAATCCCTGGCCACAGCAGAGGTGAACAAAAACTTGGACAGTTGAGTTACTAAAAGAAATAACTGAATCTGAGATATCCAAAAAAGCATAACATGTGGAACTAGAAATCTACCCAAAATGAACAAAATAAAGGTCAACAAATTCAACACATATTACCTGAAGAAGGCCAGAGTATACAACGGCTGAAATTTTGTGACTATGACAATAAAGACAAGGACAAGAGTCCAAACAAAGTAAAGAGTGTAAATAGTTACAATACCTTATCTCAGAAATATAGACAAAATAAATATTTATGTTTTTTTCATCATTAGGCTTATTGATGTACCTATTGATGTCACTCTCATGTTTTAATAACTTTCTTTTTTTATTTTTCTCTATCTCTTGATTTTTTTTCTTTCATGATACTGTGTTTTTTTATTTCTCTCTCTACCCACTTCTTTTTCCATTCATTTTCTTTATTTCATTAATATTAAAATATCCGCTTGTACTACTAAAATACTCATAGGTAACATTGTAATTGAAAGAATTCTGCTAGATACCCATTTCCTGGCCCTTGAAGGAAAACACATTGGTCTTATTACTCCATTATTAAAAAACAAAGCAAAAAAAAAAAAAAGTACAAAAGCAGTGAAGATATAAAAAGCTATAATTTTCAAATCAGCCAAAAATCTTTTTCTCAGGACTAATTCAATCTAAAAATAAAATAAAATGTCCACAATTTGTTTTAGCTTTCTTTTAAAATAATGCAAACTTTCCTAATCAAATAGACGTCAAAAAGTGGAACTGACAAATATAATTCAAATTATAGATTCTCAGAACAAATATTGAAACTTCTGTAAAAGGCATGAACTCAAAACTGATAATAACATTGCCTGCCTTTTTTCATTTGTCTTATTCTGATTAAATATTTGAATAAAGGATAGAGAATTTGAATTAGAAACTCAAGATTTTCTTATATTATTTACACTCGGATTATTGTCCTAATTGTTTTTATCATCAAAATATTTTGGACGTTTTTCACTCTGGTTTTCATCAGGTGCTTGTCGGTCTTTTTTTACAATGATGTTTATCTTGTACAGTGCCCAAAAGCTACTGAAGGTAGAGGGTTACAGGGTAAGAGACACAGTTTATTGGTATATGTGGGGAAGATGGTTAACTGTAGATTTGAACAGATTAAGATTGTAGTGGTCAAGGAAGCATCTTCTTTGGAGTCAGTTCCATAAAGCAACAGGAAGAAGCTGCTCAAGTGGAACTTACATCTCACCAATGGAATGCAAAGTGAATGATGGTGGATTACTACAATATGTATATTATATTTGACATTAATTAACCCAGCAAGTGTTGCCATGTTGTTAAATTAAGCAAATTTAACTCACACATTTTAAATATCATAGTCATTTATTATTTTTATAGTAGAATTAGTTTATGTATACCAGCTATACATTAAATAGATGGTTAAACTGGACTTTCTAGCACTGGGGAGTTACCACTCTAGAGGGACAATTCTGAATTCAAAATCATGGAAAAGCCCACAGAAAACTACTCCACTATCTTTCCTACAAAGTCCTGGCAATTCATAGATAACAAAGAAAAGCAATCTGTGATGATCTATGTTCATCTACATCTAAAAAAAAAGAGAAAAAATTCACTGATACTGTAAAAAATGATCATCACTTTCTACTGTCTCTCATTATGTCCATACCACTCATTTCATTCAGTAACTCTCTATCTTGATGTTGTAACCTAGAAAAGGTTACCAAATGAGGAATAACCAAAATGGAGGTTGGAAATGAAATGGTAATCTTTATAACATCAACAAAATACAACACTCACCAGCATGAAGTAGGTAAACCACTGCTAGTGGTGATCTACTTAGTATATTACCCCACTTATATTACTGTCTAATGTATTTATGAGGATTGGAACATACCCATTAGTGTTCATAGGTACAATATATAACAAAAACAAAGATTAGAATTTGTAAGAAATTTGAGGAACTGTTGCAGGTAACAAAATTTGGTAATTAGTAAAATATAATGCTTAGATAACAATTTAGCACTATTTTCTTTGTTCCTAATTCTATGTGCTATTTGAGGTAGAGGGTTACAGTATTTGAGGGGAAGGTATTGGTTTCCCCAAGATTTGAACAGGTTAAGATTGTAGTGGTTGAGGAAGTACCATTTTGGGAGTCAGTTCCACAAAACAATGATTCGAAGGAAAAAGCTACTCGAGTAGAACTTACATCTCACCAAAGGAATACATAGTAACCTAGAAAGAGTTACTAAATGAGGAATAACCAAAACGGAGGTTGGAAATGAAATGGTAATCTTTTATATCATCAACAAAATACAATACTCGCCAGCAGTGTGAAGTAGGTAAACCACTGCAAGTGGTGATCTACTTAGACAGCATATTACCCCCACTTATAATAGTGTCTAATGTATTTATGAAGATTGGGACATACCCATTAGTGTTCATCGTTATGGTTCTTGGAACTTATATTGGATGAACATGAGGAAAAAAAAAAGAAAGCTTCATAAACATCTTAGGATCAATCAACAAAGCAATAGTCCATGATGCTGTCAGTACAAAAGAAATAATTCTGCTATAGAAAAGCTTCCAGACATTACAGACAAAATCTTACAAATATATTAATACTAATCAGATCTATCACAGTTTGGATCTGGAAGTCATTGTGAAATTTATTATTCTTTCTTAGCTATATAGTATGTGCTTTGCCATGGCAACATACAGTTTTGAATTCAGAGTTGTCCTTCTCCTACATTGGTTGCCAACCAAGAATGAAGAACCCAGGCTGACCTACTATTTAACCCATGCAATAATTCACAAATAGATGGATTCTTGCCTTTCTCAAGGACATTTGTGCATAAGTCAATGTAATGAGCCCAACTGGAATTTGACTTGGCTCTCCAATTTCTCATTTTGAGCTGCTATCTATTACACCACCTGTACGTCTTAAATACATTTAGCATATAACATATGATATTTGATAAACAGAAAGCTATCATTCCTCAATTATAGAAATAAATATGTCCAATCTAATCAGTGGTTATTAAAAATAAAGCTTTAATTTTTCAATTGATTATGTCACCTTTCAATCAAATAAGCATCTTGAGAAATTCATTTGTGTACTTGTAAAATCTGTGAACTATCTATATTAATATTAAGATGTTGCATATCAATGCAATCAGGAAAGAATTGAGGCTGATACCCCCTGATGAGTGGATGGAGTTATTCCTGGAGGGTCTGTCTCTGAAACATTGGAGTAATCAGGATGCTAAACGTAACCTTTTACTTGTATTAATTCTAATATATATATATATATATATATATATATATATATATATATATAGAGAGAGAGAGAGATTTGTTTTGAAGATTTTAATCTTATTTATGTTTAATTTCCTTTGATTTTGAATAACCTTTACTTTTACTACCCCCCTCCATTTTTTCTTTTCTCCTTTTTTTCTCTCTTTCTCTTAGTCTTCTTTTCTTTATTACTTTCTTTCTGTCAGTTTTCTTTTCTTTCTTTTTTCCTTATCATTTTCTTTCTATCAGTTTTCTTTTGTATTTTTTTTCTTTATTATTTTTTCTGAGTTGGTATCAAATACAGATCAAAAATGTATCAGTATCTGATAGAATAAGATAAATGTTTCCTATTTGTCCTTTGTCTTATCATTTGTTCTCTTGGTTTTCTTTTCTTTGTTTTTTCATATTACTTTCTTTCTATCAATTTTTTTTTCCTTTTTTCATGTTACTTTCTGTCTATCAGTTTTCTTTCTATCCATTTACACTATTTGCCTCATTCTGAAATACACAACAAAAGGCATAGCACATGGAATTAGAACAATCTACCCTCATGGACTAAATAAAGAGTTTGGTTTGAAATTCCATTGTATATCACCTGAAGAAGGTTGAAGTGTACACTGTCTGAAACATGAATATGGCAAAAAGATGAGGATAATAGTCCAAATGATGTAGTGTAGTTACAATACCTCATTTCAGAAATATAGACAGATATTCTTTCTATTAGTTTTCTATACATTCTTTTTTCCTTACGATTTTCTTTCTATAAATTCTTTGCTTTCTTTTTTCTTTATTACTTTCATTCTATCAGTTTTTCTTTTCTTTTTTCCTTATTATTTTCTATCAGTTTCTTTTCTTTATTACTGTCTTTCTATCAGTTTTTCTTTTCTTTCTTTTTCCTTATTATTTTCTTTCTATCAGTTTCTTTTTCTTTATTACTTTCTATCAGTTTTTCTTTTCTTTCTTTTTTCCTTATTTTCTTTCCATCAGTTTTTTTTTCCTTATTTTCTTTCTATCAGTTTTTCATTTCTTTTTTTTTCCTTATTATTTTCTTTCTATCAGTTTTTCTTTTCTTTCTTTTTTCCTTATTATTTTCTTTCTATCAGTTTTTCTTTTCTTCCCCCCCCATTACTTTCTTTTTATTAGTTTCCTTTTCTCTCTCATTTTGTTCCTTACTTTTGTTCATTTTTATTTTCACTCATTTTTTAAAATTTTTCTTCCACTGTTGCCTTCCGCCATCACTTACAATCCAAAATTTTCATTAATTTTACTTCTTGATTTTTCTTTATGTGATTTATTTTCTTTCTTATTTCAGTTAATATCTTTTTGTTACATTTCTTATAAATCTTTTTGTCTTTATTGTAAGTACATTTTCCACTAACTGATTTATTTCTAAAGAAAAAGCAAATCAAAACAGAATAATCATATTATTGTTAGATATCATTTGAGTGAAAAACATCATTTAAAAGTAATGATATGAATAATAATAAAAGTAATGATATGAAATAAAAGTAATGATATGAAATTTTTTTATTGAAAAAAAAAAGCCTCACACATTTATTCAATTATTCCTTTTTTAACTTTATTTTTTACTTATTTATCTCTTATTATCTTTTCGTTTAGCAATCAAAGACTTATTTTATTTCCCTTTCATTCTTATAAGACAAAGTGCCTCATATAAAAAGTAAGCAAGATTGAACAATTGAAAAAAGACATATCTTTATTTTTTTAAAAAACAAAACCTATAAAAATCTTTCAGCCATTGCTTAGAGGTAATATCAGTTCCCAATTCATTACCTCTGGTGAAGGAATGTTCCAGGTGATCAGTCGACAATAGATGGTAATGGTAATCGACATATTAGTCATTACTATATACAAGACATTCATTATTCACAGAGGATAGAAAATGCAACATCGAGATCTGAACACACATTAGACTAGCAAAAGAAGCATTCTGAAAGCTCTTTTTCTTTCTTTTTATGTGCTATGTTTTTTCAGGATGTAGGTGATCATGGCTCTCCACTTCCCCCTATCCCTTGCAGCTCTTAACAAGTTCCTTCCCTCTGACATCACCCCCAGACCACGTTCTGTCATCCACTTGCTCAAGCACTCTAGGTATGTCATGCATTGTTTTCCTTTGTCTCTCTTTCCCTCTATTCAACCAGGCTCTCCTTCCTTATTATGTGCCCCAGAAACTTCAGTTGCACCTTCCTGATGTTAAGTATAAGCCTCCTCCTTGTTTGCATCCTCTCTAAGATTTCATCATTGCTCTCACACTCGGTCCATGAAATCCTTAGCATCTTTCTGTAGAACCATATCTCCGTTGCCTTGAATCTGAACACTCAACAAAACGATTAAGTAAAATGCTAAAAATTTTTTCTCTTAAAATAGATTTTCTGGACAATTGGTTTCTCAACTTTACTGTTATTACTCTTTCCTGTACTGATGGAAGTTTCCTTTCCAAGCTTTTATTTAAGATAGTGTGGAAAGTCATCATTATTTCCCCTCCTAGTTAGAATCCCATGCAACACACTCTGTATAGAGGATATGCTGTACTGCTGGGACTGGTTTCAGGAACATGAAGAAGACATCACTGTGTTACCCTGGTTACTAACTAATTGAACACATAGGCAATTTGTTTAACCAAAATGTTTTTTCTTCAGGGTTGTCATGGTGAAAATTAAAGCAGGATAATAAACTACTAATATCTACCATGTATTTCTGACCTTTCAACCTTAAAAATTACCCACCAAAATAGAGGGTCATCTAATACAACAGTTACAAAGGGCTAACTTTAAATCCTGTGGTGCATCAGCACTGGTAAGTAAGTTAGCATGCTTGCACCATGGATCATGGGAGGCTAACAACTGCCTCGGTATTATAACTATCAATATGAATATTTCTAGTTGAAACGATTCATGTTATAATGCTGTACTACAGTTATAAATGTAATAAAACTACTTTTACTTTTTCATTTCACATTAAAATCCAACATTCAAGAAATGATGACAAAACAATTTGAAAAAGCTCCACTGAGCAACATACATAAGTAACAAGTAACGTAAACTAATCCTTTGTTTTTGATTTGTACACTATAGGTATGTTCACATCAATCATTATTTTTCATAGTTGTGTTCAATAACACCATTTAGGATAACATCCAATCTATATTTCTAATTAAATTTCATTATCATTGTAGTGTTAAATAAAAGCAACAATTAGTATAACATTCAAACTTTATTTTTCAATAACATACATTATACATTTTCTTTTGCAGTGTTAAGCGACAAAACATTTAAGATGCCATAAAATCTTTATTACTTCATTACAGAATAAAAAACATAAGACAACCATGTACATAATTAAAATCCTTCAAAATTGCTATGATTCTGATCATCTGATGCAAAAAGCTCATCATAAACATTGTTATTTAGAGTTTCATAATATGGGTTCTATTCAATCGACTTATACTCTGGGTATCAAATAAAATCACAAAAATTTACCTAGATTTTGCATCTCATCTTATCTACAGGTCGCTTATACATGGAAATATAAGGTAAGCACCTGATTCCAGATATAAACCTTTGAAAGTCTTATAGAGTCCAAGCTTGAGCTGTTTTAAAACCCTTCAAAATGACTATGATACTCATCATCCGATGCAAAAAGCTCATCATAAACATTGTTATTTACAGTTTCATAATATGGGTTCCATTCAGTCATCTTATATTCTGTGTATGAAATAAAATCACAAAAATTTACCTAGATCTTGCATCTCATCTTATGTATAGGTCACTTATATGTAGAACTATATGGTAAGAACCTGATTCCAGATATAAACCTTTGAAAGTCTTATAGAGTCCAAGCCTGAGCTGTTTCGTGGGTATATGAAGGACCAAAACCCTATTATGTAACTGGTCATAGTATTTTGCCTCATCAACGTGTGTGTGCATATGTGATCTTAATGCCTCTCCCTCTGGTTCCAGAGATTCTCTTGAAGGAAATGATGGTGATACTATTTTGTATTAGTAATTATGAATTAAATTCTAATTTTTACAGGGATGATATTTGTATTAAGAAAAAGAAAAGAAAAAGAAAGGAAAGAGGATGAAAAAGAAGAAGAGAAGGAAGATGTATGGGGACAGGAAAAGAAAAGAGCAAGAAAGGTTTGGTTTGGTTTGTTTTACAGCGTATCAATATCAATGGGTTTTTTAATGCTGACAAAATTTCTATTGTTGGTAATTTTTTTTTTTTCAAACATGTATTGTTAATAATATTTTTCCTTCAAAAAATCTATTTTTGGTAATATTTTTTTTAAAAAATGTATAGCTGGTAATATATTTTTTTTCCAAAAATGTATAGCTGGCAATTTTTTTTTCAAAAAGTATTGCTGGTAATAATGTATTGCTGGTAATAATTTTTTCTTCAAAAAATTTATTGCTGGTAATAAATTTTATAAAGTATTTCTGATATTAAAACCTATTTTTACACTTTCATAGTATTTTGAACCCAGTCTGGGGGTTAACTATTTACCCATAGCTGGGACCCTAACAGGTGCTACCACTCTGGGTCAGGATGGACCTGGGAATACCAGCAATTAAGAGGTGGCTCCACACTTCTCAAAAAATCTTGATTAGAGGCCTTGTTGTTGGACATAGTTTATCAACTTACCCAGGACATATATATAGTTTATTGTCATACATAGGCCAGAGCAAGAAAGGAAGAGAAAATGAGAAAGAAGGGGAAAATGGAGATAAGTTAATGGAAGGAAAAAGAAATGGAAAAGAAAACAAGATAGAGAGAGAGAGAGAGATGAGAGAAAGATAACTAGGTGAAAGAAAAAGAAAATGAAAAGAATACAAGAAAGGAATAGAAAATAAGAAAAAGGAGAAGGGAGGGAGGTGAATGAGAAAGTAAAGGAAATAGAAATAGAAGAAAAGAATAAGAGAAAGAAAAATTCTTTAAATGAGAAAATTTAGATGAAAAAAGAAAGAGAGAAAAAATAAGAAAGTAGAGGAAAAGGGAGATTAATGAAGGGGGGAAGAAATGGAAACGGAAGAAAAGAATAAGAGAAAGATTCTTTGAATGAAAGAAATTAGTTGAAATAAAAAGGAAAACTGAAGACGAAAAGTATGATAAAGATGGTAAAAATGGTAGGTAAAATAATGGGAAGAGAATGTAAAAAAAGGAGGGAACATGTGACAAAGAGAAAGAAAGGAGAGATTAAAGGAGAGAATGAAGAAAAGAACAAAACAAAAATGAAAACGAAGGAGAAGAAAAGAAAGAAACAGAA